AATGCCTGGCACGGTGCTTAAAATAAAGTAGTTGCTTCGTGAAGGCTTTTAGTGCTTAGGGAATCTGAAGATGCTGTGCAAACAGCTTCACACATTCATCCACGATGTGGTTTTACGATCTGCATGTGCTACATACTCTCTATGCTCCGACCCCTCAGCAGCTTCTTCACCTCATCTCGGACCAGTATCATGGTGATCCAAGAAAGTCACCCTGGCTTCTTTCAATTTCTTTACCAACTGTTCCTACCTCTTGGCCTTTACACTTGCTGTTAGCCAGCCCAGAAGCACTCCCCTACCTGTGTAGCTTGGCAAACTCCTATTTATCCTTCAGGTCTCAGCTACCTCACACAGAATGCCCCTGGCCCCACAAACATCACAAGGCTGACTCTTTTGGTAGTCCTTACCTACAATTGAATAATTAGTAATAAAAATGTAGGTGCCTGTCTCCCTTGCTAGACTGTAAGATACATTATGTCTAGCACAATGCTTACCACATAGTCAGTACTTAATACAGAGTTGAAGAATCACTAAATGCATTTATACCAGGTCATCTTTTGTAGGGAAGTCTATAGGTAGGGAGATTAATTGAACCAAAGCTCTGTTTAATAACTTGAGAGGTGACAGAGGACATGGTTAAGAACATGGATCCAGGGATCCCTGGGTGGCGCCGCGGTTTAGCACCTGCCTTTGGCCCAGGGCGCGATCCTGGAGATTCGGGATCAAATCCCACATCGGGCTTCCAGTGCATGGAGCCTGCTTCTCCCTCTGCCTGTGTCTCTGCCTCTCTCTCACTGTGTGCCTATCATAAGTAAATAAAAAAAATTTTTTAAAAAAAGAACATGGATCCAAGGGCCAGACAATCCAGATACCAATCCCATTTGGGGGAGTTACTTAATCTCTTTGTGCCTTAGTCTTTCCATCTGTAAAATGGGAATGATAATGAAAATACAAGAACCTTCTCCTATGGTGGTAGTATTAAAGAGAGTTAAAAGTACATATCTTAATGTAGAAAGAAGTATGGCGGTTCTTCAAGAAACTAAATATATAATTACCATATAATTAAGCAATTCCACTTTTTTTAAACATACTCTTTAAAAAAATATTAAGTAATCTCTATACCCAATGTGGGGCTTGAACTCAGAACCCAGAGATCAAGAGTTGCATGCTCTGCAGACTGAGCTAGCCAGCTGCCCCCAAGTAATTCCACTTCTAATATATACTAAACATATTGAAAGCAGGGACTTGAATAAATATCTGTATATCAATGTTTGTGGTAACTTTATTTATAGTTGCCAAAAGGGAGAAACAAACTGAATGTGCGTCCATGGGTGAATGAGTTAACACAATGTAATATACCTGCCCAATGTAATATGATTCAGCCATAAGAAGGAATGAAGTACTGACCCATGCTATAGCATGGATGAACCTTGAAGACATCATGCAAAGTGAAATAAGCCAGACACAAAATGGGAAGTCAGTGGTTAATGGGTACAGGGTTTCAGGTTGGAATGACAAAAAAGTTGGGGAAATGAATGGTGGTAATGGTTCCACAACAGGAATTGTACAATTAAAAATGTTTAAAACAGTACATTTTGTTATGTTTTATCACAACAAAACAATTATACAGAAAAAAATTTTACGCTTTAACTGCTTAGCACATACTCAGGATCATAGCCTTTCCTATTATTATATTGATTATCTGAAAGTTAAATGAATAAGCAAAGCCAGGATTTCAAATCCAAGTCCTTTCAATTCTCAAAGCTCTAAAATAGGGGATCCTTGGGTGGCTCAGTGTTGAGCGCCTGCTTTTAGCCCAGGGCATGATCCTGGAGTGCCAGGATTGAGTCCCACATAGGACTCCTTGCATGGAGTCTCCCTTCTCCCTCTGCCTGTGTCTCTGCCTTTCTCTTTCTGTGTCTCTCATGAATAAATAAAATCTTAAAGAAAAAAAAAAGCTCTAACATTAACCTCTACACTGTTTCCAATTGACTTGCTCTTGATGCATATCTTTTGAATGGAATATCCCACGTTTTCCCCAAAGAAATCCCAATTTAATGCTTCTATTATAGGGAAATTCAGAACATTGTTGCCTTTCCTCACATTATTTTGTACTTTGACAGCCTTTTTTTTGTGGTTGTTGTTAACTGCACATGGTAAAATAGCACTAAGTTGTGTTTAACACTTATTAGAGCCTCTAAAATTGGGAATCAGGCTCTAGACTCTGGTCACTACAGCTTGGGAGGTGCCACAGGCTGAATAATGGCCCCAAATTATGTCCATGCCCTAATCTCCAGCCGCCTGTATATGTTACTTCATATGGCAAAAGGGACTTGGTGTGATTAAGCTAAAGATCTTGAGATGGGGGCAGCCCAGGTGGCTTAGCGGTTTAGCGCCGCCTGCAGCCCTGGGTGTGATCCTGGAGACCCGGAATCAAATTCCAGGTCAGGCTCCCTGCATGGAGCCTGCTTCTCCCTCTGCGCCCCCCACCCCCCATGAATAAATAAAAATCTTAAAAAAAAAAATCTTGAGATGGGGAATGTACTAGAACATAAAAATATATTCGGCCTTTGTCCCTGGTTCCTGGTACAGAGCTCCTAAAACCCATGTAACTACCTAAGTGATAGGGGTATTTTTTGCTAAGAAGCTCCTTTAGATCATAACTGAATTTATGCTAATGAAGTGACTTAGGCTAGGATCCCAGGCTCAAGATGGGGCTGGTCACCAGTGTCCAACAGATTTTATAGAGTTGGAACTTTCAGCCCTCCCCAGACTTAAGGCAAAATGGGATGGTGGGCCTTGGATTGGAGTGGAGAAGCTGGAGATTAAGCTCTGTAAAAACTCTTGGAAAACAAAACCCTTGAGCAACAAGGTTTGATGGGCTTCTGGGTTGCTGAACACATGGAGACGCTGGGACAGGACTGTGCCTGGAGAGGACATGCAAAATCCTTGCTTCCCCCGCTACCCTCACCTTGTGCAATAGATCCCTTCCATTTGGCTGTTGAGTTGCCTCATTTTTAGTGATAAATACACTAAGGTGTTTTGAGTTCTGTTCAGTCATCACAGTAAATTACTAAACCTGAGAAGGTTGTAGGGCAGCCAGGTCAGACAGAAGTGGGGTAACCTGGGGTATCTACTACCTAATTGGTGTCTGAAAGAGCAGAGAGGAAGAGTAGGCTGAAGAAACGGCCACAGGGCCTTGTGGCCAAGATGATTTTGGAACTGAACCTGAGTGATAAAGAGCCACGAAGGAGGGACCATACAGAAGTAAGCTTGGATTGGTTTCAAGTATCAGCACATGCTATAATGTACCTAGTGGCTCACGGGGATGAGGATGGGGGCTGTTTATACTGTATCATAGATTTGAAAGTTGCTAGATTTTGTTAGTTCTCATGAGTTCCTAAGCCCACATGGTGATGGGTGTGAACTAGACTTAACGGTAGTCATTACTGTACCCCTGAATTGTACACCAACTGACACCTGTCACTTATATCCCAGTTAAGAAAAATAAACATACCAAGTGCAGAGAAGAAAGTGAAATAACTGGAACGGTCACACATTATGAGTTGGATGCAAAATGGGAAAGTCTGACAAGTTTCTAAGTTAAAACATGCTTTCACCATACAATCCAGCAAGCTTACATTTTTTACCCAACAGAAATGAAGACATACGCACACAAAAACCTGTACAAATGTTGATAGTGGCTTTATTCATCACCTCCAGTAATTGTGAACAACCTACATGTCTTTCAATGTGCGAGTTTTAGAATAGTGATACAAGGACTTAATGGACCAACAACTGACAAGAACTGTAGATTTGAGCACATCCAGTAATATGCTCAGTAGCATACTGTCTAGAACGTTCAGAAAAAGCAAAACCACAGAACACAAATCTAATCAGGAATTGCCAGGAGTGGGAGCTGATTCTATAAGCCTGAAGAAACTTTTAAGGTGGGGATAACGTTTAACTAAATCACACAGATGTCACAGAACTACACTCTAATTATGAATCTTACCTAATGTCAATTGCCAATAAAAGCAGCTTCAAAAAGTCCACAGGGGCCATCTTTCATTTATCTACTGCCAATAATTTGCAGGTTTTTTTTTTCAAATTCGCAAATTTGATAACCCAATGTTTAAGGGAGCTTATAGAGAAACGACACTCTTTAAATATTTTTTTTAATTTTTATTTATGATAGTCACAGAGAGAGAGAGAGAGAGAGAGAGAGGCAGAGACACATGCAGAGGGAGAAGCAGGCTCCAGGCACCGGGAGCCCGACGTGGGATTCAATCCCGGGTCTCCAGGATCGCTCCCTGGGCCAAAGGCAGGCGCCAAACCACTGCGCCACCCAGGGATCCCAGAAACGACACTCTTGTACAAGAGCATAAACTGGCTCAAACCCCACAGAAGGCAGTTTGGCACAATCTACTAAAATTAAATTGCAGAAACGTACTCCGCCAAAAATAATTCTTACCTGATACTCATCTGTGTGCACACTTGAGCTTATTTACTACTTTGTATATACTTACAAATGATGTAAACCCAAATACCATATAACGGCACACTAGCCTCTACATCAATGAAGATGGACTTCATGGAAGGGCCAGAACACATTGTTATCTGTGTAACAGTATATACAGTATACAAGGTTTTCGGGTTAAAAAAAAATGGTGAATCATTATACTCATTTGCTGTGTACACTTCAAAAAAACTAGATACACAAGACTAATGGCAATGATTATGGGGGAAGGACTTAGAGTTGGGCCAATGGGGGAGAAATGGAAGTCTGTGGCCTAAAGAGCAGGGCGGCTTCCAGTCCTCATAGTCCAGTATTATCTGGTTCAACGATGACCTGGGAAAAAAATGCAGGTGGGTGCTGGGTGACAAGCCAGAGACTAAGGGAGCTAAATGCTAGTCCAGAGCCGACGCAGAGGCTAAGATCCCACAAGCTGGCCGAGTCAAACCACACTTCCAGGCAGGTAAAAATAAAAAAAGACACAAAAGAAATGGATCAGTTGTTTAATTAGGTTCTTTGTAAAAAATTTAGAACACCAATTTGTGAGGGTAAACTCCATTTGTGAGAGAAAACACAGAGCGGAGGTAGCCCTGAAGCTGAGGAACAGCTTTGATTTTTGGCAGAATTTGCGAGTCCACAGCTTTCTGATCAACCTTGCGCTGCTCTGTAATCTCGTATTTCTAGGTGGAAGAAAAAAAGAAAGAAAAGAATTTAAAAGTAGGGCACAAGTACCAGACTCTAGCTAACCCAGTAATTCTATCTCACAAGTACTCAATCCCAGGGAGATTTAGAAAGCAACTTTGACCATCCTTTCCTTAGAAGGCTGTGAAGTATAATCTTGTTTTTAATATAATAAAAATACTAGCTCTCTTTCTTTTCTCCACTTCAATACACATCAAAGATCAGCAAGGGTGGGGGCACCTGGGTCAGTCAGTCAGTAAAGCATGTGACTCTTGATTTCATCCCAGGTTATGATCCCACCAGGGTTGTTGAGATTGAGACCTGTGTGAGGCTCTGCATGGGCATGGAGCCTGCCTGAGATTCTCTCTCTCTGCACTCCCTCCTCCGCCCCCCAAAAAAGGATAAATAAGGGTCAACTCCTAAAAGAACAGCAGCAGTTAATTCACAGAGCTCTACTAAACTCTCAAAAGGATTCTAAGCTGAGTTCTCAATTCCCATTAAGAATCAATGAATGTGGCAGCCCTGGTGGCTCAGTGGTGTAGTGCCACCTTCAGCCCAGGGCGTGATCCTGGAGACCGGGGATCAAATCCCAGGTCAGGCTCCCGGCATGGAGCCTGCTTCTCCCTCTGCCTAACCCCCTCATGAATAAATAAAAATCAAATAAATAAATAAATAAATAATCACTGAATGTTGAGGAACCTGGGTGGCTCAGTGGTTGAGCATCTGCCTTTAGCTCAGGATGTGATCCTGGGTTCCAGAATTGAGTCCCACATCAGGGTCCCCACAGGGAGTCTGCTTGTCCCTCTGCCTAGGTCTCTGCCTGCCTCATGAGTAAACAAAATCTTAAAAAAAAAAAAAACAAAAAACCAACAACAACCACAAACCACTGAATGCAGCACCACCTTGAACAAGGTGATTCCCCAGATATTCTATTTACTTCTCTTTGTGAATTCTTAACTTTGTTTTCACTCCTACCCAGGGAAGCTGGAACTATCACAGGCAAAGAAAGAGCAGCTTACCTCCTTCTCTGTGTCAAAAATCTCCCCTTCCTGGTGTCTGGGTTTACGCAGCTTCTTCTTCTTGAAATAAGCATCAGTGAGATGTTTGGGGATTTTCACGCTGCTTATATCAATTTTAGTGGAAGTGGCAATGACAAATTTCTGGTGTGTTCTACGCAGAGGAACTCGGTTGAGGGCCAGAGGTCCTAGGGAAAAAAAAAAATCAACATACTGAGGGAAAAAGAAAGCAAAGATTTAAGAATGGACTTTGGATTTAAAGAAATCCAATGAGATGAATTTTCTTTTTCTCAGCATCTGAAGAAATCTCAAGCTGCTCTTTCTACTGCCAGCATTCAGACTTTTTCAACATGTTTGTCCATAGCTCCCCCGCCTCAAACCTTAAGTGTCCAAGCTAGGACACAGCATTTTTACTCATACACGTTCGCCAAAAACACAGGTCCCTGACAAATTTAAACCAAGCACTGCTCTCCAGAGTGAACAGTACACTTTTTACCTGTTTGGCAACTGTCCTTTGGTTTCAAGTGGCAGATCAAGTACAACTCTTATGCAGGATCATTCCTTGGGGTTAATAGCCAACCATTCTGCACTTTAGGTGGCAGTTACTTAGTGGTATGTTGCCACACAAAACTTAAATACCTGCTTCTTTAGAATTCAGGTGTATGCAAGACAATGAAATGGGGTACGTAATCTCACAGCACTGGAACTTCCATGTAGGTGGGAGCAAAAATACATTTGAAAATATCAAGTTTCTGAGAATATAATATCCTGGTGATTTTCTTACCAGTCACAAGTAGCAAGCCACTGCTCAGTTGCTTCAGGAAAACTACCCTCTGTAAATTGAAGACATTTCTGTGATTAAAAACAGACTTCTAAATTCATCAAATCACAGGCTTCTAAATTTGGTAGAGGAAATTCCAAAATATGTATCTGCTTAGCAATTCTGGAATGAACTATACGAAACCACCAACAGGGGTCAGACCCTTGGATATGAGCGATACTTTTGTGTGCTAGTTTATAATGTGCAGCTATTAACTTCTAACAATAAAAAATTCTAAAAAAGGTAACATAACTCAGTAATTCTATCCCTGCAAAATTATCCTGAGGAAGTAAATATATAAACACTTTTGGGTATAGGGGCATATGAATCAACTGTAATAAGTACTATCAACAGTGGGAAATGATAATTTATTGGATATTATGGACTAAACCACATTACAGTAGTGACTGGGCTGCTGGTATTGTTATGCCCTCCCACCTCAAACTACAGGTACCATAGGCAAATAAAGAAACTCTACCCAGAGCGTGAACACATTAGGATTAAACACCTGAGCTGAGGGGCTCTGCTCACCTTGCCTCTGTGGCGCCCAGTGAGGATGATCAAAATGGTCCCAGGAGTGATGCTAGCTCGCAACTTTCTCACATGCTGACTGAAAGGTTTTTTGCCATGGCTCAACAGCTTGCGAGGCACATCTTCAGTAGGATAATACCTAGGCTGCAGGGAATCCATAGGTCCAACTTATTTAAACAAGCTAATCAGATTAGTATTGCTGGTTGTGTCAGTCTTAACACTGGTTATACCCCTCTTCGCCTATTTGAAATGATTTACAAAATTTCACTTCCACTTCTAAGTAGACAGTAAATTCAGAAAAGATCAATGCTGCTTATCCTTTCCTAGGCAAAACACAGGAGAGAATCCATTTAACTAAAGGAACAAAGACAGAAAGCATTAAGCAAGTTACCTTTGTAGGCTTGGGATTAAACCAAACTTTGGAATTATACAGCAAGCTCTGTGTCCTATCGTTACACACTGTGGCGTAGCAGTGATTCTCAAGCTTTTCTGGGCTCCCGGAACTTAACCTAATCTGTACTTCTCCAGAAACACTTCTGACACACATTTTGGAAGTTACAGAGGAGGCAAGGCTTGTTTTTCCATTCAAATTGTGTTCACATTCTTCACATTAATGTGCATCACTACCATGTAATGCACAAAGGAAAACAAAACAAGACCCCACACAGACTATTACGTGTATGACAAGTAACTCACGATGACCTCCTGCTTTTATCACAAACATTAGTACCCAACAGAAAAACCAGCCCACAAAAACTATGACAAGGAATCGAAGCACCATTTTCCCTCTGGGATAGTAATTTTCAACTGTTATGACTATAATCCAACTGGGAATATTCCCAAAATGGAAATTACAAACATTGAGGAAATGTTGCGGCTTGTGGGTGTAAAGGAGCCAAACAACAGTGCTCTGGTATATAACTGCTCCACAGGCCTGGCAGCATAAAAGGGTACATGCCCCACTTAATTCTCGCAACACTCTGAAGTAAACCTTTATTCTTTACAGGCGAGGAAATAAAAACACAGAAAAGTAATTCTACTTAACATCAAACAACAAATGTTTAAGAAGCCTGGTGTAAACCCAGAGTCCTCCATTAGTAATCCTCTGCCCAACACAAACTTCTAAAACCACACAAAAATCCCCTCCTGGGGGAAGCCCGGGTGGCTCAGCGGTTTAGTACCACCTTTGGCCCAGGGCGTGATCCTGGAGTACCGGGATCGAGTCCTCCGCGTCAGGCTCCCTGCATGGAGCCTGCTTCTCCCTCTGCCTGTGTCTCTGCCTCTCTCTCTCTGTGTATCTCTCTCATGAATAAATAAATAAAACCTTAAAAATAAAAACAAACCACTCCTGGTATTCAAGCTTCCACTAGGCTTCCCGTTTACAATCTCTTCCAAACCTTACTTACCATTTTGCGAAGTTTAACCACTCGGGTACCACCATTCTTGTCACCACCAACTGGTTTTGTAACGGTAGCAAGAACCTTCTCCTTCTTTTTCTTTTCAACCTATCACGACACAAATGCATCAAAGTCAGAGGCAGACAAAAATTTTTAAGGTGAAGATGTAAGTGATGCTCAGTCATCTCCTTCAACCCTTACCCTGGATTTAGCTGCCGAATACTTCCTCTTGTACATGGCTTTTCTGGAATACATAGCCGATCGGGAATATCTGCCAATTCCTCTGACTAGGACAGGGTTTCGGCTGCAGTGGGGCTTCCCCTTCTTTGGCGTTTTAGTTTTAGCCTTCACGTTACCCTTCTTTGCCTTGCCACCGGCATTAACCTTCTTGGCTTCAGGTTTCTTCTCCTTAGTATCCGGCTTCTCGGCTTTTTCGCCCGCCATCTACCAGGGTGTGTTAAAGAGAAATGCATTGCAACAATTATCCCATGACAAAACATTACGTAAACAGTACATTGATAAGGCTTCACCCTCTCTCCCCTGTAAGATCCAGGCCTTCCAAAGCCACACACATCGCAACAGCCCTCATATATGTAAACATTTGAAGAGCTCTTACATTTGCTAAGTATTTAGTGGTCAAGGGGATCCCTGGGTGGCTCAGCGGTTTAACGCCTGCCTTCGGCCCAGGGCATGACCCTGGAGACCCGGGATCGAGTCCCACGTCAGGCTTCCTGCGTGGAGCCTGCCTTGGTGCCTCTGCCTCTCTCTCCTTCTGTGTCTCTCATGAATAAATAAAACTTAAATAAATTAGTGGTCAAAAGTCCCTATTCCACTCGTTCACTGTTGCTGGTTTGTGATTTAGAAATCTAACAAATCGCCACAGGTATGAAGCAGTGAGGCCGGACCCGGAAACCGTTGGTTTCCAGGGCTTTTGCGCTTTTCAAACTGCTGTCTCATTCAAGAATCTCGGCTTAGGAGACGAGAACACACAAACACGCAGCCCAAACTCAGGGCGGACCAAAAAGCGCAAACACAAGAGGCGACTTCCGGTCGCGGACGTGGTTAGATGGAAAAGTAGCGCTTGGCCTCAGCCCCAAAGCCCAACGTGGCTCAGACAAGTTCAGAGCTGTGTTTTGGTACCCGAACCCGGGATTCCGGAGCGCGCGCCCTCACTCTGGTCCCTGAGGCCCCACTCCTCAGCTACGGATCCCCAAAAGGGCCCTGTATCCCCAACCCAGGAGGGTGACAAGCAGCCGGAGTTTCGGAGCCTCTCCGGCACCTCACCTCACCCTCTTCGCGCCATGAGCAAACCCAGGCGAGATAAATGAACCGTCTGGGAGGCCTCTCAGTTGGCCCCGACCATGTCCGACCCCTGTAGGTGTCCACTTGAAACCCTCCTGGTTCGGATGGAGAAGGATTGGGGATTCCGAAATCGAGTCTTGCAGAGAGGACCCGCCATTCTTACCTTGCAAGATGGAAAAGAGAACTAAGGTCCCCGCTTCCGGTCTATAAGGCATCACGGGAGATGCTGAGTATCACGTCCTTCCTGAGCTGTGGCATTATGGGAAATGTAGTTTTCTCTCCTTTGACGGTGTTATTTCTTTGTGTGTGTGTGTGTTATTTCTTTTTATAAGAGGCAAAAGCGAAGAAAACTTTGAAAATGTTTCATTTTATAGACCAATCAAATTCTCAAAACACTTTTGGAAGCTGACATAAATTACAACTTTTTATTTTGCTCACTAAGGACATTAGAAAGGACTATCATTTTCAATATAAGAAAGGATACATAGATGAAAAACCAAATCTCCAAATAAAGTGAAATCATTCCTATGAAAGGCTCGTTGGGGACCTTCCATGGACATTTTCTCCGCAGTTGACTTAGGGCCAATATCCCCTCTTCAGACTATAGATTATGCTCAACGGCAGAGAGTCAGAGAAGTTAGAATCTAACATAAATAAAATAGGAGTGCCTGGCTGAATCAATTGCTACAGCATGTCATTCTTGATCTTGGGATTGATGAGGTCGAGCCCCACATTGGCGTAGAGATTACTCAAAATAAAATATTTTTTAAAAATTAAAAAATAATATGAATAAAATATTTTCCCGTTCTCGAAGAACACACATTCAAAGGAAAAACAAACAGAAAAAATGAATAATTATAAGATATTTATTCTGGGAGATTTAGGAAACTTTTACAAAAGAGTTGAGTTTCATGTTGGATTTGGAAGAATATAAACAAATTTGGCAGGTGAAAGTGATTATTGGAGAATAAAAGCAAGAAGCATGAAAGCATGTTGGAGTACAGTTGTTCATCCCTTCTACAAGCATTTCTGGCTACTTTGTACTTCTTTTGGAAGTTTTGTTTTACTTCATTTTATTTATCAAAGTATAATTGACACACATGTTGCATTAGTTTCAGGTGTCGTGCTCCTTCATTTCTTTTTTTAAAAATATTTTAATTTTATTTACTTATCTATTTTATTTTATTTTATTTATTTATTTATTCATGATAGTCACAGAGAGAGAGAGAGAGAGGCAGAGACACAGGCAGAGGGAGAAGCAGGCTCCATGCACCGGGAGCCCGACGTGGGACTCGATCCCGGGTCTCCAGGACCGCGCCCTGGGCCAAAGGCAGGCGCCAAACCGCTGCGCCACCCAGGGATCCCACTTATCTATTTTAGAGTGATAGAGCGTGCCCATGAGCAGAGTTGGGGGCAGAGGGAGAGGGAGAAGCAGACTCCCCACTGAGCAGGAAGACCCACTCAGGGCTCTATCCCACAACCTGGAGGTCATAACCTGGACTGAAATCAAGAGTCAGATGCTTAACAGACTGAGCCACCTGGGTACCCCCAGATTCTTTATTTCTAAAATGAGGATAACAGTATTACCTGCCAGGGCACCTGAGTGGCTCATTGGGTTAAGCATCTGCCTTTGGCTCAGGTCATTATCTCAGGATCCTAGGATCAAGCCCCAGGTAGGGCTTCCTGCTCAGTGGGAGTCTGCATCTCCCTCTTCTGCTGCCCCTCCCCCTGGTCATGTGTGTGTACCCTCTCTCTCTCAAATAAATAAAATCTTAAAAAAGAAAAACAATAGTACCTGCCTCACAAGGTTGTTGGAAAGATTAAATAAATTATTGTACACAAAGTCATAAAGAACACTATTTGATGCATCATAAATGCTAGATAAATGTCAGCTCATGTTACCATCACCTGCCCCCCTGCATGACACCACTGTCATCAACACGAACATCATAGTTTTTTTTTCCTTTTTTAGATTTTATTTATTTATTTATGAGAGACAGAGAGAGAGAGAGAGAGAGAGAGAGAGAGAGGCAGAGACACAGGCAGAGGGAAAAGCAGGCTCCATGCAGGGAGCCTGATGCCAGACTCAATCACAGGTCTCCAGGATCACACCCTGGACTGAAGGCAGTTCTAAACCGCTGAGCCACCCGGGCTGCCCCACCAACATCATAGTTATTGGAGATTCTACTATATGGCAAGTATTCTGCTAATGTTTATGCAGCTAAGAGAATAAGAAAAATATTGTATGTTATGTAGTTAGAACTGTGTTATGTGCCTTGCTTTATTTCATTTAATCCTCTCTACAGCCTATGAAGGGTTCTATTATGAGGACTCTGGGGCTCAGGTCAAATAACCTATTCATAACATGGATTTGATTTTAGAGATTGTACTTTTAATTATCCATCTGTAAAGATTAAAGAGATGACTAGGGGCACCTGGGTGGCTCATTAGGTTAGGCCTTTGGCTCAGGTCATGATTCCAGGGTCCTGGGATTGAGCCCTGCATAGGACTTCTTGCTCGGTGGGGAGCCTGCTTCTCCCTTTCCCTCTGCCCTTCATCCCTGCTTGTATTCTCTTTCTCTCTGTCAAATGAATAAATAAAATGTTAAAAAAGAAAGATGACTAATGAAGATGAATAAAAGTTCTTTGCTTATATTAGAATTATGAATACTTACTACCTTTGCAAAATAAACAAAACACTGCATCTAAGCCCTTAAGACAACATATACACATATGTGACACCTTTTTGGCTTGAATTTTCTATTCTCTTTCATTTGCTTGTTGCTGGTGGAGAGCTTTTCACCTTTTCTTCAGATCTAAGTCACCTGCTTTGTGGCTGTGTTCCCTGGGAATCATGTAGTCTTTTTCCCATTCTGGTTGACTGAAGATACAAATAGAGTGATCAGATATCTCTGAAAGCCTCAGAGATTTCAGTGGAAACCTTTAGACTACAGTGAATACAGACTGGCTATACCTGCTGAAACATGCGGGTTCTAAACGAGTCTGTCTTCCTTCCATACAAATTAAGGATGAGTGTGAGTCTAATAGGCTGCATTTTATGCCAGTGTAGGATTATTCACTGTCTGGACCTGTAATATTCCCAAGGAAAAGCTTGGGCACTGCTCTTTTTTAAGAATGGAAATGTCAGCACCTTTATTTATTCAGCTTCCTGAGCAAAACACCTCCTAAAAACAGTTACTTCAGAAAGTGTATTGGGGAAAAAGAAAGAAGAAAAAGAAGAAAGAAAGAAAGAAAGAAAGAAAGAAAGAAAGAAAAGAAAGAAAGAAAGAAAGAAAGAAAGAAAGAAAGAAAACGAATTGGAATGAAGTGCAGAGCTGTTCACTTAAGCCCCTAAAAAAACCCCCCCCAAAAAAAAACAAAAAACAAAACAAAAAAACCGAACTTAGAAACTTTCACGTAGTACATGCATCAAAATATTTAAATGACCTGCCATTAAAATAAAAAACACGGGGATCCCTGGGTGGCGCAGCGGTTTGGCGCCTGCCTTTGGCCCAGGGATCCTGGAGACCCGGGATCGAATCCCACATCGGGTTCCCGGTGCATGGAGCCTGCTTCTCCCTCTGCCTGTGTCTCTGCCTCTCTCTCTCTCTCTCTGACTATCATAAATAAAATAAAAAAAAAATTGAAAATAAAAAACACGGATCCCTGGGTGGTTCAGTGGTTTGGCCCCTGCCTTTGGTCCAGGGTGTGATCCTGGAGACCCAGGATCAAGTCCTATATCCAGCTCCCTGCATGAAGCCTGCTTCTCCCTCTGCCTGTGTCTCTGCCTGTGTCTCTGCCTCTTTCTCTGTGTCTCTCATGAATAAATAAATAAAATCTTTAAAAATAAAATAAAAAACATAAATGAACCCCCTCTTGTGTTTTGTTGTGGTACTGCAAAATTTACTGTTCATTCCTTGGACAAAATATTGTCAATATATTAGTTATAAAGTAAATGTTATTATCAAGCACCTCTTTTTGTCATATTTAAAATACTTTTAAATTTGTGCAGTGCTTGGGGGTGCCTAGATGGCTTAGTCAGGTAAGTATCTGCCTTTGGTTCAGGTCCTGGGATTGAGCCCTATGTTGGGTTCCCTAATAATGGAGCGGTTTTGGGGGGGGGGTCTGCTTCTCCCTCTTCCTCTGTCTCTTCCCCAGCTTGTGCATGCTGGCTCTCTTTCAACAACGACAAACAAACAAACAACAACATCTTTTTAATTTTTTTTATTTTTTTAAATGACTTCATTTATTTATTCATGAGAGACAAAGAGAGAGGCAGAGACACAGGCAGAGGGAGAAGCAGGCTCTCTGCAGGGAACCTGACATGGGACTCCATCCCAGGTCTCCAGGATCATGCCCTGGGCTGAAGGCGGCACTAAACCTCTGAGCCATCCGGGCTGCCCAATAAACATCTTTTTTTTTTTTTAAGATGTTTATTTATTCATGAGAGACACAAAAGAGAGAGAGAGAGGCAGAGACACAGGCAGAGGGAGAAGCAGGCTTCCTGCAGGGAGCCCCATATGGGACTCGATCCAAGATCCCTGGACCACGCCCTGAGCCAAAGGCAGTCGCTCAACTCCTGAGCCACCCAGGCGTCCCTAAATAAACATCTTTAACAAAAAAAAATTTTTTGCACAGTGCTTCATTAAGTACAAAGCAAATTTTTCTTTTTTTTTTAAAGATTTTATTTATTTATTCTTGAGAGACAGAGAGAGAGAGAGAGGCAGAGACACAGGCAGAGGGAGAAGCAGGCTCCATGCAGGGACCCTGAGGTGGGACTCATTCCGGGTCTCTAGGATAACGTCCTGGGCTGAAGGCAGGCGCTAAGCCGCTGAGCCACCTGGACTGCCCGCCCCGCCCCCCCCCCCTTTTCTAAGATTATATTTATTTATTTGAGAGAGAGAGTGTGAGCACGCACAAGTCGGGAGGGGGCAGGGAAGAGCAGTGGGAAAGGGAGAAGCAGACTCCAGGTTGAGCAGGGAGCCTGATGTGGGGCTTGATCCCCAGATCCGGGATTATGACCTGAGCCAAAGGCAGATGCTCAACCACTGAGCCACCCAGGTGCCCCCTCCATGAACACTTTAGAGAAACTGAGTAAGAGTGAATCACTATGTTGACCTTAACTTACGAAGG